CTGTTTGTATGCTCCAACTCTGTTCTGTCATGTGAAGCGGAGCAGGTTAGCAAGTGAAGATCCACAGATTCATTTTAGACACTTAACTGATTCCAGATAAAATAGTTATGCAGCTGTGCCCTATGCTTCCTGTTCTTAAGCAGAAGAGTAAATCCTGAAGTCTGGTATATAAGTTTATGGCTCTACAGCTAAATAAGTTGATTTGTTGGAGAGTTTTAACTCTGTGCTCCCAGCTGAGCATATAGGTATCTGAATGTACCTGGTCGGTATCTAATTGAGGTGCCTTGTTTCTGGAAGTCAGATTTGAATCTTTCATTTTAGTTACTTGTTTAAACATTTAGATAGAAATTACTAAGCATCATTGCTTAGTAATTTCACATCCTACTAGCTCCAGTAGGATGTGAAATCTAGGCTGCTATAGCTTACATGCTACAAAACAGGGAGTAGAAAGCAAACTTTAGATTCACCACTCTGAAAATTCTTAACTTCATAGTGTAGTGGGACAGTGAAAATTGCTTCTGATATTGAAATTAATCTTGGATGTTCTTTGTTAAATTTTATCACTACTCTGTAATGGATTATAGCATGTGGGACTTTCTACAGGGAGTTATAACAGTTCTTTTTGGCAAAAAAAAATGGTGACTTTTTTCTCATCAGTTGTAGCACACAGGAAACATCAAATCAGTCAGTAAACCTCTTGTTATAGTTCTATAGCCATCTCTCCAATGCAGGAAAAAAATGCCCAAAACTCCAAAACTAGTTGCACAAACTATTTTTGAATCAGCAGTGTGCACTCATACTGACTTTTCAAAATCATGATTTCGAAGTTAGCTTCACAGAGGATTAGGCACACAGAAGAAAATAAGTTTGGGTTCTTTTCACGCATTAAAATCAGAAAATAAGCATGGCAAAATAATCTTATGCTAGTGCAATGGAGGACTGGAGATTTTATAGCCACTGGAACTGTTATGTCTGGGATCTGACATCTGACTTTTAAAGACACCAATGCATTCAAATTAATACTTCACATACAATCCAATATTCTGAATGCTATGTATAAGGATATCTTAGCCGTTATCTGCAGGATAATGCAGGATATCTTAGCATCTTACTGCAGGACAATGAAGAATAATAAGAGTATTCACTCATTCAGTATGAATAAATTACACACAAAGTATTAACTCAGCTTTTCCAATATTCTATCATTGCATGTTCAGACTTCACAAAGTGAGCAAATCAT